TCTTTCATCGAATTTTCAAATTCTCACTCAAATATGAAATTTCATGGCAAAACCCAACCCAATCTTTCCATTTTTATCAAATTCTCAATTGTTCGATCGTGGCATGCTCAAGTAAATTGATTTTTGTAGCTCAAGAAAAAATCACTTGGGTGATTAATTTATAAATATTAATATTTCGAATGATTTGTGTTTAATTATGCAGTCACTTCATCATCATCGACATGAGTTGCAATGAAATCACCATTCATTGGGTAACGACATATTATATTCAATTCAATGGAGTCTTATTTCTAGCTTTGTTTTATTAACTCTTTCAACTCCATATATGTAGCATGTTGTGGGGGCACGAATAAGCCTACTTCGACCTCCCACATATTGGGCATAAAGATCCTCAGATACAATTAATTTACCATCATACCGTAACATTAATTCGGCAAAGACTTCACCCATTTTTTAACATATTTTTGTTATATTTATGAAACAATAAATTAATTGTGATCTAAGTTATGATCCAATTTATGATTGGAAATTCTTTTGTCATGACATAACAACAACTAATGCCAGTACTACTCATTGATCCGTATCACACATCTTTTTCTCTATAGTGCTTAAATAATTCACCTGATACTAACTAAAGTGTTTCAAGGTTAAGGGTCTGTTTGAGGTAGCTTATAAGTGCGAGGGCATTTTTGAAAATATTGTGGTACCTTTTTGAACACGCATTTTGTCTATTTATCAGAAAATGCGGTTCTAGTTTTACAAGAAATGCGGGTAGCAAATTGAATATTGTGGTGGATGAGATTTGCTAATTTATTTATTTAATTACATGTAAAAATAAAGGTAAGCTATACAAAGGGCATTTGGTCTAGTGGTATGATTCTCGCTTAGGGTGCGAGAGGTCCCGAGTTCAATTCTCGGAATGCCCCGTATAAATGGCTCTTATAATTATCTATTTATAAAATTACTTTTTCTTTATCTTATAATTAATAAAGATATATAAAATGATTTTGAAATCATTTACAAACTTTAAATAAATTTGTATAAAATGTACATAAAATTATGATCAATTTATATCCTTGTATAGAAAAAGTATAAAAGCCACAAACATTTTTATAATAATTTAAAAATAAATTAAATTATTTTCCTTGATTGTGCAATGTTCCTAATTGCAATTTTTTTCAAAGCATATACACATTTTAATATATTTTTTTGGCATTGATTATATAAATATATTGTTATGCTTCTAGACATGATTTTTAAACTGTTGCCCATACATCTTGTGGCTATTAATATTTGCTATTCAAAAGTCTATAGTTTCTAGTTAGGGATTTTTATTTTCATGTATTGTATGTGTAGAGATTTTTTTTTGTGTGCTTTAAGATAAATGACTCAAATTATGTTGTTATAATCTTCAGTTTTAATATAATTGAAGGTGAAAAAAAAATAGATGACATTTTAAATCATTAACGTATTAGGCAGTAAAAATCATCTTGAACTTAAGAAATGAAGTAACAGATCTAATTGGGAGACGCCAAAGCCATCGACAAGGTGATGAAACATACACAACATTTTAATGCATCGAATGTATCAATTAATCCCATGATCGAGTTAATGTAGGTTTCATGGACAAATTGATCCATTCCTCCTTTGCACGACTAAATTTCATAATGGGCTTATTTTTTGTGAACTCCTTATAAATTTTGTTTATTAGTTGAGGCATCTACCTTTCAACTCGCTTTATGAAGTGCTTCCAAAGAATTCTAGGTCTTTTTGCGGCAGCTATAGTTTATTAAAAAATAGTTGTGAAGTTGTTGAAAATTAAACTCATGTTCAAAAAACAACAATGATCATTACTTTTTTTTTAAAAAAAAAGTCAAACTATAACTAGAAAATCGTCACCGCACATAGCCAGAACACTTAAATGTTGGCAGCAGCTTTTTGAAATAACTGTGAAAACGAAGTTTACCCAATTAGATAAAATTGTTGACCTTAATATACCCAAAGGTGGACATTTTCCAAAACGAAACTTTATTTATTTTTTATTTTAGAAAAAAAAATATTTTTGGTTTGCCCATCCTAAAAAATAGGGTTTATTTTAGTTATTAAATATGTATATATAAGATTTGGTTTTTTTATTTATAGGACATTTACATACATTGCTCATAATTATATTGTTTTTACATGTCTCACACCTTTACTTTCATATTTACACATAATGCTTAAAAATTTAATATCACATAAAAAGTAGTACTATCATCACTCCTTCAATAATGAAATACACGATTTTATGGATATATTTAAAATACCAAAGTGTTATTTATGCAAATTCATAAAAATTGTATCGAGGTATGTAAATTTGCATGACTGCACCATGTGGAATGGAATGTGGACTTCCCTATTGTTTGTTCAATCAGGACTGGGCTTTTTCTCATTTATTTAATTCAGAATGCACAGTCTGCGGCCCATCAAAATTGTGCAGTGACGGGCTTTATATACATATGCTTTACATCAATAGTTAGGGCTTCCCTCCCTCTTCGGCCTTATCAGACCTCAACTCCACCGCATTCGGGGTTAGGGTTTCGATACCGGCCGTAATAGCTACAATGGGGAGGGAACTGCAGCAGCAAGTCTCCTATACAGTGGAGCAGCTTGTCGCCGTGAATCCCTATAACCCCGACATCCTCGCCGATCTCGAGAACCATGTCAATGAGCAGGTAAAGGGGTGAAATTCTCTTCTCTTACATCCTTTATTTTCAACTTCTCATAGAATATGAACGGATTCGAACTTTTTTCTTCTTTGGAATAGAATTAAAGTTTTTTGGGGTGGTTTGATGCGGCTTGTTGGTGTTTCGTTTCCGTTTCATTTTAGGAAATTGAGAAAAAAATGTCGTCCTCGCGAACTTGAGGGCATTCCAGGGAAAAAAAAAATGTCTATTTGGAATGTTTGTTTGATAAAAGGGAGGGCCAAATGAAGTTTTATATCTTGTCTAACGTCTTCCTTTCTGATGCTGGCGGTGCTTTATAGGTTCTTTCAAAGCAATTGTAATGTCGGATTTTAAAAAAAATTTCATATGATACGCCAGCTTTTAGTTAGTATCTCTGAGTAATTTCAATCAGAAATTAAGATCGATTTCTGGATCTTAATTGTTTCTGAATTGAATTCTTTTGGGATGCTCTCAATGTTGGATAAATGTAGCATCAGTTGAATTCAGATGGATGTTAAAAAAATTATATATTGTAGCTTCTAGGAATGCTGCAACTCGTGCTGGTTGATATATACTTTGATTGAAGATAGTTTTTTAAATGTTTTATTCGTATATTGGTTTCTATTTTAACATAGCTCACTATTCTATGGTTGTCTTACAGTTAAGTTTCCTCTTCTCTTATTGCCTCTGCTTTGATAATAATTTGATTTCCGTTATCTTAGTAAGAATGAGATTTCTATTATTAGTTGTGAATCATTGTCATTACTGATAACAATGTTTTCTGGTCTTCAGCTGATCCATGTAACACTAAATTTTCCCTTCCTCATTGTCTCCTCTCTTTTTCATTTCTCATAAGCTTGGAAAGGATTCCTGTTCCTCCTGGATGAGTAGGATTTTTAGTACTATCTTTTTTTTTGCACTGATGTGATTGGACTGTTTTTTCTCTGAAATTTTCTCTGTTCCGAGTGTTTTTTCCATGGATGTTTGGTATGGTGGAATGATAAGAAAAAGTTTTGATTTTTCAAATTTTCAGTGAGAAAAGTTTGTTTTGTGTTTGTCAACTTGAAGGCCTTTATAATCCCAGATAAACTGCTATTTTGAATGTTTGTCTGATTCATGAAAGGCCAAAATAGACTTTTGGGGCTTTAGCTGGTAGAGTGCCTTCAGTTTTTTGATGGAGGTGACTTGTAGGTGCTTTCCATACATCATATGTTGTTATTGCTTTGTTTTCCTTAAAAACTCAGGGGCTTTCTGGAAATGGATTTATGTGGGATTTAACTTAAATCTGTCAGACAGAAAAAGGGCAAATTTTAAATCATGGATTTAATAAATCCAGTTTCGAAAAAGGGCAAATTTTAAATCATGGATTTAATAAAAACAAATTTCTCTGTTTTGTAGTAAATCCCAGATTTGCTAAATCCCAGTGGTAGGCATGATTTAGTAAATCCGGATTTACAAGATTTGCTAAAGTTGTTACCAAAAAACCCCATAAGATGACGTTCCAAGTTTAATTACTGCTGGGAGGCACTTTAATCAGAGCTTTAGTTGGAATGTTTTGAGTTTCGATTTTTGGAGGGTTGAGTACATGATCAATGATTACAATATTGGATAATTATTGACAGATGTCAACCAAAAATATTAAAGCTTCCATATACTTTTGTAAATTAATAACTTGCAGTCCTCTTTTTCAATTTGGAGTTTGGAATTATGCACATTTTATTTTCTTGATTGGGAAAATTTTATTTTAATATTTTGATGAAACTATCATTTGAAGTGAGTTTATTTCTTTTTAAACGGTTCAATACTTTGATTCTTTTACTAATGTTTTTTTCTTATGGCTCAACTTTGATAATAATTTGTTTGTTATTAACTTAATAGAATGATTAGTTCACTTCTATCTTCTTCTGATTCCGTGTTCATTTCATTAGCTCATGCCTTCGCTAAGATATACGTTACCTATTATTAGTTCTAATATCTTCTTCATAAACCAATTATATAGTCTTTTATGTCCTTTACCTGAACTGTGTAAGGCTATAATCAGCTTTTTGTGCTTGGATGATTTGTTGTCTTCTCTATCCTACCTTTGTAGGTCTCCTCTTTTTTGTCTCCCATGGATGAACATTTATTAATGTCAGTATCTATATAAAACGGCATAACCGCCTGTAAGGATATAAAAGCTAAACACAAATAAATAATAAGACCATCCATACTTAGCTAATAATCTACACTTTATCTAAGCAGCTTAGACAATCTAAATCCTTTAATCTCCCTACAACACCTTCATCAAGTCAGAAGTGGTGAAGCTTGCCATCCTTGTTTAAAATTGTGCAATATGAGTTTTGTCTAAAGGCTCGCCTCAACACTTTTCACAAAAAATCCCAATGGGGGTCATTGTCTCAAGGTGAGGCATACACCTCACCCAGGTTGAGCTGGGCCTCGTCTCAAAAAACACATAAAATTTTTTAGGCTATCTATAATTTTTTTAAACTAAACTAAATGTATTATCAATATACCTTATCTATTAACATTCAAATATCACACACTAAATAATAAGTAAAATAAAAATGTATCAATGAAAATTTATATACTTGAAATTCCAATTATCAACATTGTTGTTATTTTAATTAATATCTTTACTGATGATTATTCATTAAAAAATAGAAAATATCCATGATTAAAAATAATTGGAAATGAGAGAGTATAGATATGACTAAAGATAAAATGCGAGATAAACAATTCTAATGAAAATAAATTGGGTGATAAAAGTAATGGAGATTTTAAAATTAGAAGTTCAAATGTTGATGACCTGTTATGTTCTTGTTTAAGTGGGAGTTAGTATGAATGAGGGTGAAATATTAATTTTGAACTTATTTTGATTGTTATGCTGTTATATTTTAGCATTTTGTTTTAATTCTTTAGTTTATTTTGATAGTTTAATGTTTGTATAACTCATCTTATTTCATAATTTGATATTAGGATTTTAACGTTCTAATTTTACATAATTAACTATTTTTTATTTAGTTTGAATGTTGTTATATTACTTTTTAATGTGTTAATACATTAGAATATTAATTTATTGTTTCTTGTTACTTATTTTATAGTTTGTACTATTTATTATTTTATACAATATTTTAAATTTGAGGTTTACGCCTCAAAACACCTTAAATCTTTTGCCTCATCTCACGAACGAAAAACTGCTCAATATCCGATTTCGCTATTTTAAACATTGCCCGGCATTATTTAGTATGATTCTTGATAGTACAAAATTTTTTAACTCTGATTGTGCAATAATAAAATGTAGTCTAATATCAATGCATTTTATTTTTTCGTGAAAACTTAATTCATTATTAGTTAAATGGCACTTTGAATTGTCACTCTAGATTATAATTTTCTTTTATTTATTTTCAAAAACTTCTACCAAATTTTTTATATACATAGCCTTTTTTATAGTCTCTGTAGCAATCATATGTTCTGCTTGCTGTCTATAAAACAACTACTAGCTAAAGATTTGTCTTCCAATCCAATGTTTCCACCTATTGGGAACGCACAATCAATCAAAGCTCTCCGTTGTGCAGATCCCCAATGTAATCTAAGTCCACAATACCTGAAATTTGTTCTCCACTCTCGTTTGCCTTTCTACTAGTCAAACTAACATCAACAGGCTCTTGTACGTATTTGAAGTTTCACTTAACATCCCTCGGTTGCTTTCTTATAATATTCTAAATTAGCCATGTATCTACCTATTATAACTGTTGTTAATTACACTTGGGTTCTTTGGGTCAGTCATGCACTGATGAATCTTCAAAATGATCTTCAAATGGTAATTAGTTCTAAGTTGTAACCACAGTAACCACTTTTAGCACTGTTGGTGACCACTGTCAGAATTAAGACAAATGGTATCCGCCTAAAAGCATTTGCCTGATAAATGCCCAATTGTTCCAAAAACGCCTGAAATTGTGACTTTCCACCAATTATTTTGTTCATTTCTATTGACATTGAATATTCAGAGCTTTGATCTTTCATTTCGGTTTTATATATATTGAAATTATGACCGAAATGTTGCCTATAGGAGAAAAAATCATTCACATAATTACATAAACAGGCATGATGCTGGCTTTCTTTTTAACTTAAAATTATGTGTGATTAGTTTATTGATATTAATTCTGTTATATAGGTCTTATCGCAAACTTACAGTTTAGATGCAAATCTTTGCCTTCTCCGGCTCTATCAGGTTAGAGCCGTCCTGTTATCTTCTATACTACTTGTTTATATTGCTCCATTTGCCTTTTTATGTTTTACTGATAGCTGCTGTAAATTTGCAGTTTGAACCACAGAGGATGAGCATCCAAATTGTTGAGCGAGTCTTAATTAAGGTTTTATAATCATAATTCGTTTGGAAAAGCAATTGAAAACATTTCTGATTTATGTAAAATCTTATACTTATATTTTAATTTCTTATGACCAGGCTCTGATGGCAATGCCAGCTCCGGATTTCAGCCTCTGTCTCTTCCTAATTCCAGAACAAGTGGTATGCATTATGCCTCATCAAATGCAATTGTCCTGAATTTGAATTGAAAAAGCTCAGCCATGCAGTGTTTGCTATTAGTTTCATAATCTTGTATTTGATTTGTTCATTATCTTAATCCAGCAAATGAGCGGTTCAAGACTCTGATTGTTCTCTCCCACTATCTGGAGGTGAGCATGTATTGTTAACTCTACATTTCGATAGACCTATATAATCGTCGTTATCGCTGCATTTTGTCGTCCTTACAGACAGCAAGGTTTCACCAATTTTGGGAGGAAGCTTCAAAAAATCTTCACATACTTGAAGTTATTCCTGGTACACAAGGCAAGATCTTTTCCCTATAGCAAATCTATATTTTTTCTAAGACTATTTTAATTATATTTCTCAGGGTTTGAGCAAGCAATCCAGGCATATGCCATCCATTGCCTCAGTCTGACATACCAGAAGGTGCCCAGGCCTGTTCTGGCTGAGGCCATCAACATTGAAGGTGTTTCCCTGGACAAGTTCTTGGAGTACCAGGTGGCTAAAAATGGCTGGGTTTTGGAGAAGGGAAGTAATAGGACGCAGCTGATTGTTCTCCCCAGGAATGAGTCTAATCATCCTGAACTCCGGAAGAACAGCGATGATGGGAACCCTCTGGAGCATGTTACCAGGATATTCCCAGCACTTGTCTGATCACCTTTCACCAAGAAAATATTACATCCGGACTCCGGATGTCCAGACAATTGATCGTGGAAAAAGATGGGAGGAATCGGACCTCCGCCCTCCTCGCTGCATCCGGGCCTTTGTCCGGACATCCAGAATCCGAATGTAATATTTTCTCCTTCCAAAGTACTCTGTTTGCTCTCAGAATCTCTTGATGCTGTCTGATTCCATTTGATTTTGGTTTGAATTGTTGTGTATGATAATTGTGGAATTATTGAGGTTTTGATGGGGATGAGGTTTATATACCACCTAATTCCTATTTATTTACATATCTAATGTCTAAACTTTAATTTTTTTTTGAGCGGGATCGAGTAGTTTGAGCAGATTTGATTCGAGTTGGGACGGGATTTGAATGACTCGATTTGAGTTAGATTGTTTCTTTGGTGGTGGAGTTTGATTTAGTTTTAAGCTGAGCTACCTTGAAATTGAATATAATGAGTTACGAGCTGATTTGAAGTCGTAATTAATCAGGAATTTGTTAAATAATAGAAAAAAAGAGATATAATTTGACTTATATTATTCTGACTAAATTTAATAAAATAAATGTTCCAAGTGTTGTGTCATTTCAAAATGCTATGATATAAAACTAATTAATTTAAATTTTTTAAGAACGACAATTTTATATAAATCTAATATTTGCAAAATGCGGATGTTTATATTGTTTTTGTATAGAAAAAAAAAAACAATAATTCCTCGCGTGTAGGGCAGCTGCACATGGTGTCAAAAGAAATGGTTTATTTAATGTTGGAGAACTTTATAGGGCATTTGTATATCAATCATTTAAAGGTCTGTTTGAGGCAGCATATTTGGTGCGGCGGTATTTTGAAAACGCACCTGGTATGTTTTGGTAAACTCATTTTGATAGCTTATGCGTTTTCAAAACGTCGAAAACAGTGTTTTCACACTGAACATATTTAGGTGCGGTGACAGCTTTCTGACAACAATCTGACTTTTAAAATAAAATTAAAAATTTATAATAGTCACCTCATCTAGTTTATTAATAGATTATTTTTATTCAGCTTATTAGCAGATCATTCAATAAGCTGCAAAATAAACACAACAGATCATTCAATAAGCTGCAGCTGCCCCAAACAGAGTTATTCATATAATATTAATATTATATTTGTTTTATAAATGATATTGCAAAAATAAACACACAAATTTTATGAAATAATAAAAGGTGAATTATGAAATCCATCAATTCTTTCACTCGGTTTGAAATTTAACCTAATTATATATATATAACACTTGGAATTTTAAACAAGTCGTAAATGTTAGGTTTTACGGGCCTAAATTCAGAGCGATTATTGCGTATGGACTGTACACATAAATTTGCGGGCAGTGTCCGATCAGGACTATTGAATTACATATTTATGTTTTTTTAATTGTTAGAATGAAGTCCACTCTAATTTTTTGACTGTCATGATCGAACACCGCACTCAAAATTTACTGGCAGTGTCCGTACGCAATAATTTTTCCTAAACTCAAACAAGGCTTATAGTCACAGCACTGCAAAATTCAAAACATATCTTATTTTTCTGAAAGATGGTTGCATACCTTAAAACATAACAGTAAAGAGGATTATGTTTTATTTCTCATAAAATCCAGTCAAGACTTTATAAGATCAATTATAGATCTAACCTGACTTTGAGTTTATTTGAAATACTATGACCACCTCTACTCAAGTATTATACTTATTCATATATAAGAGTTCCTTATAGAACTCTAGCTTAAAGCTAACATGACTCTTATTCTTTAGATAATAATTCTAGTTCTTCAAATATAAATTCTGTATTAAACAAAATATTCTCGACGAGAAAATAATACGTAAAAAATTTTAAAATATCGAAATACCCCTCTTAGTGAAGAGAATTTAAATAATTGGACTATTCCTAAAGTTAATAAGATTTTGACATATAAAATAGATACCTATGTCAAAGGTAAGAGTTCGATAAAAACAGTTGAACAACCGATTTCCATAGATGAAAATGAAAAAAACAATTCATCTTATAATTCATAAATATTTGCAAAAATATCTGCAAGAATATCAACATATTCATATTGGCGTAATCCAAATAACATTTAAATCTTTAACACTTAATGGATTAAATGCATCTACTATTGCTTGTTTGAGAGACGACAAATGCCTAAATTAGGTTCAATCCTTTATAAGAGTAATTGAAACTAGTTTATGTCATGGAACGATCTATTTTAATACGTTCCCAAACTTTAGTTTCTTCTCAATAGATATAAATCTGTTTGAAGCAATTAAGCTTCATATTCAGTTATATGGGTATCATTTCTTACTTATATCAAAGACAATGACTCTGGTTGATCGAGTTCATTTTAAGATAATAAATATTTTATGTCCTACGGTTAGGGAAAACGTTCAACCTATAAAAAAAATTAATGATAATCAGATCTAATTTGCTAGCATCAAATATTGCTACAAATAAAACGATCAGATGAAATGAAATTTCATTTATAGAGTAATGGTCATTAACTACGACACTTCCTCAAAGACCGAAAATTAATCAAGATATTGACTAAATAATTCAAACCTCTAAAGGAGATGTCAAAGTTAGATTTAATCCTCAGAGATCCATAACTCTTCTACTATGAGTTCTTCAATAGAAGAAAATTCGGCATGAAATCTAATAGAAAATATAAATACTATACAAATGAACAATGATTAGATATTGCATCAAGTGAGAGAAAATTATAAACATGGAAAACCTGCAATTTCTTTTGTTCTATGGTTCATTGAAGAATACATTAAGAAATTAAATTTAGGAATACTAAACAAAAAGAGGTTAAATTAAAAAGGAGAGATAATAGAATCTATCCATCCTCCAAACATTAAGAATGTAATTAACACTAAGTTATAAAACTTAGAAATCTCTGCATTTGATAAATTAAGTATTGAAGTAAATGCTCTTAAATAATTTAACAGTATGATTAAGCAATTATATTATGCAAATACAACTTTACAAATCATATGTGAGCATTTAACTCAAATAAGTAAACAAATTAATAACATAATTAGAGAGTTCTGATAGATCTCTTGCTGTAATTAAGAGGCATCATGCTAAACAATCTCATCCTAAGTATCAGTTTGATTTAAGACCAAATATGAAAGATTTTGAGGAATTGATATCAAAACTAAAAGAAAATAATTTAACAATAATTGAAGAAATCAATTCTAATTTCGAAGAAATATCTTCTAGAAATGAACCCATTGAAGACTTACCTGATGAAAACATGATAAGCTTCAAAATGAATTTAAGGATTTAGAATTAAATTCTTTAGAAATAAATAAATTAAAATATCGAAAGAGGTCATTAGATAGACACTATTACATTAGGCATACACCTCCAAATACTTTATTTGGGGAAAATAATGAAAAGATATCAATATGTTTATGATGCAACTTAAGTTTATGGATGGAACATAGATGGACAAACAAAACAAAAATACAAGAAACTCTTCATCAAATGATGATATTCGCCACCAAAACTCAATTAAGGAGAAATTCAAATTTTTTAATAACAACAATGATTACCTGTGGATTTACAGGAATACCCAAAGGATGGTGCGATAATCGTCTCACAGTCGAACAAAAATAATACTTGTAAAGTGAAACAAGACTTAAAGGTGTAAACCTTTCAAATACGGAAGCATTATATAATCTCATTATCACTATACTTGAACATTTCACTGAAATGTTTTAGATAATAGTGAAAAATGAAGTCATTATTACGAAAATTGAGATGTTTAACTTCAGCACATTTTCGATTGTATAAAGATGTATTTATCAGCCGAGTAATGCAACTTAGTGATGTTGGTCATCTCCATTGGAAATAGAAGTTTATTGATGTTGTATTATAATAGGACTAGATATTTGCTCTGAAACAGCTTAAAAGAGAAATAATTCTTGAAAAAAACAACTTGGGCAATTTGGTGAGCAATTTACCATATATATATATATATATATATATATATATATATATATTCTAAAAAAAGAAGAAAAATTTTAATAAAGAATTTCATAAAATGAAATTCAAGAAGAAAAAATATAAAGAGGAAGAATCCTCTAAGGGTTAAGATAAACTCTTATGAAAACTATATTGACAGATAATGAATCTTTTCAAACAGAAGAAAAGTATTCATTGCTCACTTCATCTTCCATCTTCACTGATGAAGAAAATTGTTGTTCAAATTGTGAGCAAAATGACAACTACAAAGATATAATTGAAATGTCAAGGTTATTTATCTAACATATCATCAAAATGATCTAATCATTAAAGTTCTAGCTTAAGTAGTTGATTTTAGAACAGGAGACACATTTTTTTACTTACAAGACAATAAGAAAAATTTGGATCTCAAGAATCAATATCTTATGTTATTAAAGGAGTTTTTGACCGTATCAATAAACGATACGGATCTGAAACAACATTTTTCATATCTTAAAGTAGAAATTAAATAACTAAAAAGAGAAATTATTCAAATAAAAACTAATCAAAGAGATCTTCATCAAAGAAAATGAGGAGGTTCAAGAAGAAAATATAGAAACAAATATTTTCTTACAATCTTTACAAATGGCAATAATTCAAAAATGGTAATTATCCGTTAATTTAATTATAAACAAAGAATTTATAATCTACAATTTAACATCACTAGGTGATAGTGGTGCTGATATGTAAGGCTGTCGAAAAAGCTCGTTGTTCGCGAACAGTTCGTGTTCGGTTCGTCAATGAGTTTATGCTCAATTCATTCTATAAATAAACGAGACAAACATGGACAAATTTTTTTCGTTCGATTAGTTTGGAGAAAAAGGATTCATGTAGCCAACCCCACGTAGTGGGATTAAGGCTTTGTTGTTGTTGTTGTTGTTGTATACTATATTAGTAATATACCAATATAGATATTATATCTTTATATAATAAAATTTATATAATTAATATAATATATTATTTCTATATATTAATATTAGGGATGTCAAACTTGCTCGTCTTTCGCGAACAGCTCGTGTTCGGCTCGTTCGTTAAGAAACGAACACAGACATTGACTTCGCGAACAATTTTGAACACGAGCTTATTTCAAACAAACTAAATTTCAAACGAACCGAACACAAACACAAGCTCTGTTCGTACGTGTTCGCTTCGTTTACACCCCTACTGATATGAATTGCATTCGAGAAGGAATAATAATTTATACATATTTTGAAAAAATCACTCAAAGCTAACTTATGCTAGTGGTAATATAATGCAAATAAAATACAAAATAACAAATGCATATTAATTCTTGTCAAAAATCTTAGCCAACATACTATTTTGGGTACTCCATTTTTAATAAAGATTATGCTTATAGCAAAGATAGATGAAAATAAGAGAATGTTTGGTTTATAATAACGCAGTTTCATTTCAATTTATTTTAGATCCAAAAGAGATTATATTAAGGGTTCGTTTGGGGCAGCTTGAAAACTCCGTTATTATATTAAGGGTTCGTTTGGGGCAGCTTGAAAACGCCGCTGTACCGTTTGGTTCGCGCGTTTCGCTAGCTTATCCGAAACTGCGTTTGAGTTTTTACACTAAACGCAGGCCGCGTTTCAGGATAAACAGCTTATCCTGAAATGCACAAGCTGCCCCAAACGAACCCTAAATGAGATGAATAAAATAAAAATTAAAAATATTCAAATAATATATCTAAAGTAAGGAAACAAATATTTAATTACAAATTTTCAAAATGCAATATGTAGAGAAAATCCCATATCATTCTGGATTAGAAAAATTCATTGTGCATCTTTACCATATGAAGATACTTTTGATGAAAAACATATTCTAATAAAGGCTAGACCTCGTCAAATGATTAAATAATATTTATAATTATGTAAATTAGAGATAAATGATCTACTTAATAAAAAAAAATTAATACAATACTCCTACTCTCCTTGGAGGTGCACAACATTTTATGTTATGAATGCAGTTGAAAATGAAAGAAGACAACCTCGAGTAGTTATGAACTATAAACTATTGAATAAGATTTTAAAATGGATTAAATATCTGATCCATAATAAGAGGGATATACTTAACAGATTGACTAATGTTAAGATCTTTTCTAAATTCGATTTAAAATCAGGTTACTGTCAAATACAAATTAAAGAAACTGACCTGTATAAAACGACATTCACCACACCTTTTGAACATTACGAATGGAACATATTATCATTTGAGCTAAAAGATGCATTGTCACAATTTCAAAATATCATGAATGATATTTTTATTTAATATCTAAATTATATTTTAGTATATATAGATGTAGTTTCGGTATTTTCCAAAAATAAGGAGATCATATCAAACATCTAAATACTTTTAAGTATTTAATTCATAAAAATGGCTTAGCTTTATCATCCACCTAAATGAAATTATTCCCAAAAAATATTTGATTCTTTGGACATAATATTTAAAATACATTTATTTTCCCTATAAATAGAAGTGAACGGCAGAATCGTCAACGGAAACCGTTGGGGCATAAATGTCATTATAAAAATTCACAAGGGTAGAATCGGTAGATCAGCACCTAAGTCGGCGTCTCCCTCGCTATCCCAATCGCTCTCTCTCCATCTTTCAATTTTCGTTTTTTTCCGTATTTTCACTATCGTCTAAAACCCCCAGTCCATGAACCTCCGATGCTTCTCTCCTCATCTCGATCTTAGCTTATCCCGTGTCACCCCTCCGTCATCCGCCATGACCGCCGCCGACGGAAGCGGCTCAAGTCGCCGGAGTTCCGCTGTCAATTCGGCCTCGAAAGCCTCTTCAGTTCACTCAGCTCGGTTTCCCCTCTCGATCTTCTTGCTCCTGTATTTGGCCTCGCCAGCGCGACCGCCGCGGCTTATCTCCACCGCTCTCAGCGCCCCCCCGCCGGCGTATCTACTGTCGGGGAATGGATTCTATTCATGAGCCCGACGCCATTCAACCGATGTGTTCTGCTCCGGTGCCCCTCTGTTTCATTTGAGGATGACGGCGAGACTAGCGTGAGTGAGCGCCTGATGAGGGAAGAGCGGCATTATGTTAATCTTAGCCGGGGGAGGGTTCCATTGAAGGATGAAGAGGATGTTGGGTTTGAGAAGGATCTTAAATTCCAGAGGGTTTGTGTGAGGACTGATGATGGTGGGGTGATTTCTATGGATTGGCCGGATTATTTGGATTTGGAGAGGGAGCAGGGGTTGGACACTACGGTATTGATCATTCCTGGGACGCCGGAAGGGAGCATGGATTGGAAAGTGAGATTGTTTGTTCTTGATGTCGTCAGACATGGCTGCTTTCCCATTGTTATGAATCCTAGGGGCTGTGCAGGTTCAGCCTTGACAACTGCAAGGTAGGAGACAAGGCCATTGGATTTGTTCTTTACTTTTGTATGTGGATGGCATTAAATGATTATTAATCCATGAAGATCATCAGCAGTTCTAAATTAATGTTATTACAGTATAATTCTAATTACCTCATTATGGCTTATGAATGCGCAACAATCAATTTTGTTGTTCCAGTGCCATGGAATGAAGTAAAACATTATTTCTTATTTGAAAAATGACATAACTGTCACCAATCTGCATGCATTTTACCTTTAATAATTGAAACGGACTTTCAGAAATATGCTCTCTGCGAATATAACCTTTATTAGGTTGATCTAATGATATGGAAAATTTTATCTAAAGTAATTGGTTTACTTATTTCATGCTTTTTCAAGATTCTTTATTTCATTTGAAAAAGATATAGCTTTTGGTAGATTACTTTCTATAAAAATATTGAAATTTACTTGATATTCATATGGGTTTGTCATCTGAGCCTTTCCTGGCTATTAACCTTAACTTTGTTTCGTGGGGTGGATTATCTTTTTGCCTATAAAGGTTAGCCATGAGACGGCAGTGGGGCTAAGGCTTTTGTTTTTATCTTCTTTTTCAATTATGGTTGGTATACTTATTGAAGTATAGTATGGTCGAGAGTACTCATGGGCTTGTTGTGTTAAATTGATAATCAATGCACAAGCAGACACTTTTTACTATAAAGAAAAACTGCAGTAACTACAGTCCTTACTGTTTTTTATAAGATTTCTGTAGGTTTTTGGATCCTATTTCCTCTAACTCAATTCATCTTTTCCTCTAACGCCAGGCATCAATTGCAAGTGAATATCAAGTTATATGCAATATATATGTGCGATTGTTAACGAGGAAGTACACCTAATTATTTGGCGATTCATTAATAATTTATCAAAATTACATGATATCAGCTTTGTTTTTGATACTCTGTTATGAAAATCAATTATTTGGTAACAAGTACATAGCTAAGTTCTTTTATTCCAGTTGTTGAAGTTATTACAGCAGTGAAACAAGAAATTATCTTTCTAATTTTGACTTTCTTCTTTTGTGCTGCCTATGCTTATTTTTTTTACTCTTATTTTCATTTCAATAGCTTGTTTTAAGAACTTTAATACTACTCATCTCTTATGCATACCCAATGTTCTTTGGAATGAGGTTTAACATTGCTGATTGTAGAACTCTGCAACTACTTGCTTTATGTAGGCTATTTACTGCTGCTGATAGCGATGATGTCTGCACAGCTGTACAGTTTGTCAATGGGATAAGGCCATGGGCAACCTTAATGGGTGTTGGCTGGGGATACGGCGCAAACATGCTGACAAAATATCTTGGTGAGAGTGGAGAAACAACTCCAGTTACTGCCGCTGTTTGCATAGACACTCCTTTTGACTTGGAGGAATCTACGAAGTCATCACATCATCGAGTTGCCTTGAATGACAAACTAACGAGTGGACTCAAAGAGATTCTGCGAACAAATAGGGTTTATATCCCCTATCTTATGATAAAGACCCATTAGGAGCTGTTTGGCTGCAAGTGGGATCTAGTAAATCCGTAAATTCAGCCGTCCCTTGGATTTAGTAACTCCGGATTTAGGCTGAATCAAAGGCAAAATTGGGTTTACTAAATTTAACAATTTGTATATCTATGAACTTCTGCATTTTATTATTTGGTTGGATTTAGTAAATCCAGTGATAAATCCCATTAAAAGGTTCTACCAAACAGCCCCTTATTCTTTTAAAACAATGTCTTATTTCCTTGCAAGTATGAAATTAGGATCGGTGTGATGAATGATTACCGCGATACTTGCAGGAACTCTTCCAAGGCAAAACTAAAGGTTTTGATATTGCAAAAGCTCTATCAGCTACATCTGTTCGTGATTTTGATGGAGCAGTTTCAATGATTTCTTATGGCTTTGATTCTCTTGAGGACTTCTATCGAACATCAAGCACCAGAGAATTAATTGACAATTTGAAGATTCCAATTCTATTTATACAGGTAACCTTTTAATATAATAATGATCTGGAGGTCACGAAGTAAGTTTCATGGATATTCATCTCTGCAGAACTAAATTGACTTCCACTGCATGAACAATCAGTTGATGCAAGTGTGAACTAATGAGAGTTTTTCTTTGGATAGCCATATATTCAAGATTAAGCTTTGTTGACCTGTTGGAATGTAGTCTTTTTTATTTTTGAACTATTTGTACATTTAAGTTTTCAATACCTTGTGTGTGATTGGCTTCTACTTGATATATATATTTTTTGTTAAATTAAACTTTGATAATGTTGAGAAATTAGGGCGAAGAAAAATAAGAATCGACACAAATCCAGAAAAACATCGACACAAATCCAGAAAACAAATCCAGAAAAACACAGAGATTTAACTAGGTTCGGCAAAGATGCCTACGTCCTCGGGAGCAGAGCAGCGGCTTTTCACTACTTTAGAAAAATTACAGAATTCAAGGATCCAACTTACTCAAAGACATAGGATTACAAACAGATCTATTTATAATCCTAGAGTAAACCCTACAGTACAATATGTAATTCCTAAATTACCCCTGTACCGTATAGAGGGGTATTGACCCAGCACCCCAACCCACATAACGTAACTTCCCGATTTGGACAGATTCTTCCGCTCCGCTCCGCTTCGTTCCAACGTCTATCCCTATATGGTATATGAGTCATACCATAACAAATCTCCACCTTGGCGAATATCCAGCCCCTTAGGAGATACTTAATATTTACCTGCGCCAATGTGGTTTAGGCCACCATGCTTCTGCTGCGTCCACACTGATCTCAACCCACTAAATTCTAAGCTGCTGCGTCCACACTGATCTCAACCCACTAAATTCCAAGTGACTGTCGGTCAACTTTTTCTCGATTAGATTTCTTCATTCTAAGAGACTCCAAATTCTGGTATTATGAGTCATACCTAACAATTCTCCTCCTTGGCGAATATCCAACATTTTAAGAGAAAATCTTTACCGTGCGAATATCCAATCCCTTAGGAGAAAAATCTCTACATTGCGAATATCCTGCTCTTTAGGAGAAAATCTTCACATTGCGAATATCCTGCCCCTTAGTAGAAATATCTTCAGCTTGCGAATATCCTGCCCTTTAGGAGAAAATCTCTACCTTGCAAATATCCAGCCCCTTAGGAGAAAATCTCCACCTTGCGAATATCCAGCCCCTTGGGAGAAATATATTATGGAGTTTCTTATGCAACAAATGTGGGTTGAAGCACTTTTCTTGTTCGCGCCAGCACCTCGGCTAAACTGCTGTCCAGTGAGCGAAACCCTTTGCGAAATACCTCCGCGAAACCACTGTTCGCGAATAATCGCGCCTACTCACTCGCCAGCACCCTACCGAACTCCACCTGTTGCAAACTCCACCTGTCGCAACTCCTCCGATGAACTTGCAAACTCCGCTGGTCGAACACCACCAAACTCCTATGTTCGCAAACGCTCCTGTTCCCGGTAACTGCACACGAACTCCTGTTCGCTAACTCCACCTCGCCTAATGCCGCGAAGGTTTATGAATTGTCTCACGTCGAAGTCGCGACGCCGCCTCTACCGCGAACTCCCGGAAGCATAACGCGCCGAATTGCCGCAGCCCTTTATCCGAACTGCTTCGCACCTGTTCGTTCCCGCGAGCCCGTCTGCCTTGCGAACAATCCGTAAAATTTTATATTCTCCTGCTCCATAGCCAAGATTCCCTTCCTCTAGCCAAAACAAAATCAGAAAAACCTTCCTTGTTGAGCCAAAAATTTTGCTCACTTTGATCCTGTTAGAAATCTTCGCAGATCCAGCAGAGGAAATCCACCAAAAGAAAATAATTCGCGGCCCTAGTAAATGAAAGAAAATCACATTCCAATTACTCCACTCCGCTTTCCTTCCAAAATTTCCTTTGAACTTTCCTTTTCAGCGTCCTGGAATAGCTCCGTTGCACCGCAAAATTTGAAGAATCTTCCAAATTTTCTTCTCCGCAGTTTTCTCCGCTCGCTCCAGCGAAGGAAATAAAAAATTCTATCTATTTCCGCTCCACCTCTTGCAAAGGAAATTTAGCACCAGCTAAAGAAAAATTCGAAAATCCTTCCGAACTTTCTTCTTCGCAGCCCTTCCTCCGCTCAACCTGCAAAGGATTGAAATATTTCCTTCAAATTTCTCCCAATTCGGAATTGCCTCCACAGCAAACAGACAGGAATGAAAATTGATTCTTCTTCTCTAGTGAACAGATAGGAATGGAAATCGCGAAAGAAATTCCTCCGCTTCCGCCTCAATTACGCCTCCAATTCCTCCTTCCGCTCGAACTCGCGGAGTCCTGATCCGCGATTCCTTTCTGTCGCCGAAACAGAAGCACGAACGTCCCTCCCGTGATGCGAACTATTCCTTCCGCCTCCCGCCTCCTGCGGGAACAGCGCGTCTGCGAACTCAGCCCTGTAGCAGCGATCCTCCACTCCTTCTCGCGTCGGACAACTCCCCAACAGCCTTCCGCATCGAAGCCTTCCGCACCGCGAAGCTCTCTGTCGCGATCCTTCTGTTCGCGAACCCACGCGATCCTCTTGTTTGCCGACCGGAAAGGAGGCAAGCAATCTTCCCCGCCTTCCGATCTCCTCGCAAGCCGCAATTTGCCGAACACCTGGAATTCTTGAAATATAGTGGCCAAATTTTCTTCAAATCTTCTTTTTTTCCTGCGCCGCCGAAAATTTTCTTCCCCTCGAACCTGATTCTGATACCACTTGTTGAGAAATTAGGGTGAAGAAAAATAAGAATCGACACAAATCCAGAAAAACAAAGAGATTTAACGAGGTTCGGCAAAGATGTCTACGTCATCGGGAGCAGAGCAGCGACTTTTCACTAATTTAGAAAAAGTACAGAATTCAGGGATCCAACTCTCTCAAAGACCTAAGATTACAAAAAAGTCTATTTATAATCATAGAGTAAATCCTACAATACAATAGGTAATTCCCAAATTACCTCTGTACCGTATAGCGGGGCGTTGACCCACCCAGCACCCCAACCCACATAATGTAACTTCCCGATTTGGACAGATTCTTCCACTCTGCTCCGCTCCGCTTCGTTCCAGCATCTGTCCCTATATGGTATATGAGTCATACCATAACAAATAAGTTATATACATATGATTTTTTTTATTTTGTTAAATTAAACTTTGAAATATTTAGTATCAAGATAATTTATTTGGTGCACAGTGAAGGAAAAAACTATGTATGTCAATGATGGTGCATTGGCTATTATTTGAAATGGTTGTGAATTTACCGAGATATTTTCAAGCAAGATAAGTTTTAATTAAAGATTAACATCGTGTCAATATTTTTTTGTATGTTTTATGGAAACGCTTATAAAAGATGTTCAAATTAGGCATTTTCGTTTATAATTTTCTTATAGATGATAAAGTTCTAATCAATGAGACCTCTATTAATATAAGTGGTAAGTTACTAACTTTCAACAAATATTTTTAGAGGGCAATTAGTTTTCAAGCAAGAAAGGTTTAGGCATCTTGGATCTACTGTATGAAATAGTGGGATATCTATATTACTTTTTGAGTTAAGGCCAAACAGTTAAATCGAAGAAGCTTTTTAGGATTACAATATGATAAGAGCATATCCTGTTGACATGAAGATAAGTTGAATCAAATTACAATTTGACCAGTCATGAAGTATGGATTTATTAGAAATAATTGCTTTAAAATCATGTTCTATTCATTGATGACTTGAACTTATATAGAACCTTACAAATTTCTTATAAATAAACCCTAGACTTCTATATTTTTTATTTACAATAAGAACATTCAAAAAGATACAAATCTCAATACTCTCCTCAAGATTGGCAAAAGATACTCACTAAGCCCATCTTGTCACATACTCTAGACAAATCTAGTGTGCTAAGATTTTTGGTGAGGCAGTTAGCCACTTGTTCTCCAGTGGCTACATAACATAGCTTTAGTAGTTCATGATTCAACTTTTCCTTGATGAAGAACCTATCAATCCCCACATGTTTGGCTCTATCGCGTTGCATAAGGTTGTTGGCAATGTTGCTTGTTGACTTTTTGTCACACCATAACTTCATTTGAGCTCCCTGGCCCACATTGAGCTCTACCAACAAGCTCTCAGCCACATCATCTCAACAACTCTTAAGGCCATGGCCATGTACTCTACCTTTGTTGTTGACCTTGCTACTATTTATTGTTTCTTGCTCTTCCAAGAGACCATGTTGGCCCCTACGAACATATAATATCCTGATGTGGACCTCTTGTCCTCCGCAAAACTCGTCCTGTTAAAGTCACAAAAACCCTCAATGCCTACTTGCCCATTCTTCCCGAAGATCAACCCCCTCCCTGGAGCACGCTTCTGGTACCTCAGAACCTGATACACTGTGTCCATATGACCCATTCTTGGATCATGCATGTAACAGCTCACCATGCTCTCACTACAAATGAGATTTCAGGACTAGTGTGACTCAGATAGTTCAAACGACCCACCAATCTCTGACACGATTAATTGGATCTCCTACCTCTTTACTCAGCTTGATATTTTGATTAATTGGAGAGACTACAAGCTTGCATCATAGTGTTTCTATTTCTATGAGGAGATTCAGTAGATACTTCCTCTGAGACATGATAATCCCCTTTGGTTCACAGACCGCCTTAATTTGAAGGAAGTATCTGAGCCGTCGAAGTTCTTTCACCTCAAATTCTTTGCCCAATCTTACCTTTATTTGAGCAATCTCAACCTCATCATCACTAGTGATAATCATGTTATCAATAGACACAGTAAGTACAGTGATGTGACCTCCATTTTGATGAAAGAATACCATATGATTGACATTGATCTGCTGATATCTCATGTCTACCATAGTTTTCTATACTTGTCAAACTAGGCTCGAGGAGATTGGTTCAAGACAACAATTTCTTGAGCCTGCACACCTTGCTCTCTATCTGACCTGTACCGAATCATGATGATATCTTCATCTACACCTC